AAAAATTTTAGATAAAACTAATCGAATATTTTTTAAAACCATTCGGTAGCCCGTTCGAATAGTTATTTGATAGTTTTAAAAAAGTATCGAATACTATTCGATAGTTTAAAATATTCGAAAATCACTAGAAAATATGTTATAATTTCTATAAAATTCAATTTTAACTTTAATTTAAAAATTTGTATGGATTTTTAAATGGATGTGATTAGTATACTGTTTAAATATTTTCTCATATACATTACAGATTATCTCAACATCAGGAGTTGGTTTTGTGAGATAACCACAATTCTTAATTTCTGTGAAACTGTTCTTGTAAGTAGATGAAATTAAGCTTAGTTTATATTCATCACAATGAATTTTCGTAGCTACCTTTTTGGCTATAAAACTAGTCTCTAGCTATACATCTCTAGTCTCTAGTCCAGGGATGACGAACCTTTTTGTACCAGCGTGTCAAAAAAAAATTTTGGTTGGATTTTGTTTTCTCTGCGTGTCAACTAGTATTATAACCTTTTTTCATACTTAAAAATTCCTACATCCATGGTTTGAATGATAAAAAACAAGTCAAATATTACATTATCAAACAATTTAAATATATTAGATACCAAAAATATAAGTAACACGTAAGTATATAAAACAATTTAATTTATAAAAAATAAAAACTATTGAAATGTTAAAATGTTAAAATATAAAATTGTTATACATGTATTTATAATTATTCTTGGACTGTATTTGGTTGATTTTAGTTGAACACATGCTTCACTTAAATCTGTTCCAAGATGATTCCTTACAGTTGACTTAATAAAATTCATTGAAGAAAAAAGCTGCTCACACGCATAAGTAGATCCAAACATTGTCAATAAAGATAGAGCTAGTTTTTTCATAGATTGGAAGACTTTTCCACTCATTAAGAATCAAATTTTCCGATTTAAAATTCCTACCAATTTCATGATGATTATTTTCTAGCTCATTATTCAAATTAATAAATTTATTTCTCCAAATATTACTTCCTTGAAATTCTATTAACTCCATTTCTAAATTTTCAATACTTAACCACTCAAAAAAACTAAGTTCAAGTTCTTCAAATTTAATAGTATGTTAATTTAATAAAAATTGCAATGTTGAATCTAGATGACGAAATTGGGAAAATCTGCTTGAAAATAATTCGTATGCATTCTTTAATATTTTTACACATTTTGTTATTATTCATTTCATATCAAACTGATCTTTAAAATGTTTTGAATCTATAAATTGTTTTTTCAAATAAGGGAAATGTTTCAAGTTTTCATTTTGTAGATATTTACAAAAAACTTTAATTTTTTTTTCCAAAATTGTAATATTATCAAACATAGTTAAAACTGTTTGACCTCAGCCTTGGAGTTTTTTATTTAAATCGTTATAAATTGCAGTAAAATCTGTGAAAAACATCAAATCATTCAACCAATTTAAATCAGTAAGCTCTGGATAATCTCGAGATTTGTCCGACAAAAATAAACGTACTTCTGCCAGTAATTCAATAAATCGATGAAGAACTTGCCCGCGACTCAACCATCGAACACTATTATACATAAGAAGGCCAGAGTATTGCAATTCCACCTCTTCTAATAATTTGGCAAACTGTCGGTTGTTTAATGCTCGAGATGTTATGAAATTCACAATTTTCATAACAGTTTCCTTTACTTTTTGAAGCGATTTCATACTATCTTTTGCACACAACGTTTCTTGGTGTATAATACAGTGAAATTTGATTAAAGGATGCGAAATTTCATTGGAAAAAAGTTTTATAAATCCATTGTTTTTACCAACCATATTTGGAGCACCGTCAGTAGTTATTGAAACAATATTTTGAATATTGATTTTTAAATTTATAAACTCTTTATGTACTTCATCCATAATATCACGACCAGTTGTTTTAGTATTCATTTGCATTATGATTATTTGAAGTTTTGTCAAATATACTTATAGAGTTAAATAATTTAATTTATAATCATAATTGATAATCAAACAATTATTCATTTTTTCTCATTAAATGGAAATCAAATATAATAATGTAATATTGAAACTGTACAAATTTTTTTATAGGACATATATATATAAAATTACATTTATACAAAACGTAATACATTACATTACGTAATTTTATTTTGAAAATTAATTTTTATTTTTTAGAAATGAATTCAAATTTTTAAAAAAACTTCATTTTGTATTTATAGAACAATACATTTGTATTTGCAGGATACACGTTAAGCTAACGAGATGAAAACATTGGCAAAATAATCTTTTTGCAGTGTCGCACTAGCTCAGAAGGCCCTCATTAAATTTAAGATTTTTTTTCTCGCTGGACCACTGACAAAATTTAATTATTATTAAAAAAAGGAAAGGCTATTCAGATATTTTTTTCAAGGAAATATCAAACTGATTTCAATAAATGTATATTAGATTTTAAAGAAAAAGAACTTTACTCCTTAATATTTTTAACTTTTCTTTGAGCACCACTGGAGATTATAATGGTTTTACTTATAAATTAACATTTATTTATAATCTCAAGTTTTATAAACTCATGTCAAAAAATTAAAATTGTTTAACTATGAGTTAATATATTTTTACTTTTAGATGGCACATAGAATTTTTAAATAAGAAAAAATTAATTCTACTTATATATAACCAAAACTTACTAATTCTTAACATAACTCATATTAGAACTTGTAGCAAAACTTACACAGTTTAATACTATTTTAATTTTTTTAATATAAGTTAAAAATAATTTTAGTAATTAATTTTCAATTAAAATTGCTGAAAGAAAAATTAATCATAATCTACTGAGTCAACAAAAACCTATTGGAAGAAACTTCCTGAAAGTAATAAGAATAAAAAAAATGTGTTCAACAATTACTGTATTGAAGTAGGATATACTGTGTTATTTTATACTTAGATATCCTAATGCAGCACAGGAAAAAATCTAGTCATCCCCAAAAATGATAAGGAACACTTGGAAGAAATTTCTTTTTTAACCTTTTTTTAAAAATTATTGGATAATAAGATATTATTTTAACTCTTCCCGACGACACTTATCCATATTATCAAATTGGACATAGAACATCCAATTTTATATTGTACAAATATTAACAATTTTATGTTTATATTAGTCATTATTTTTTAATATTATACACTTAGGAATTAATCACTAATAAAATTGCACATGACAATTTTTACAGCACATATTTGTTATAGAAAAATTAGTTTTCAAATGGATCTCTTAGATGTTAAAAAATAAGTTACGGTTTGATACAACTTTGTGGATCAACTAAAACAATAGTTAACTAACAGTTTTTTGATTTGATGAAAATATTTTGCAATTAAATGTAGCATTAAATAGTAGCAAATAAATGCTAATTGAATAGAACATTTTAATTTAAATTTTACAATATAATTAACAATAATATAATTAATTTAATAATGTAGTGTTTCTGTAGCCACGTGACCCTGACGTTGCAACATATACGATCTATACGCCCTATTACTAATAATACAATCGAAATATATTATAACTTTCGATGCATAATCAAACTATCGATAATGTCGGAATTTTTACTGTCTCATTTTTTTTAATTTAATGTCGGATTGAAATCCGTTGTAATTTTGGTAACCTATGGTATCAGATGGTCGGAGTACGAGATGTTCGTAACAAGTACTACTTTGTCAAATGTCGGAGTATGTAAATGTCGGAGTATTATCAGTTCGTGGCAAAGGTGCTTTCCCGAATAAGAAATAATAATTATTTTTTATTTTTTTAAATATCAAATATCTTTGCAATAGATCTAAAAGATACCAATAATGGACAAAATTTATCACGTGGAGAACGACCCAGTCTTTGGTCGGTTTAACGTTATCGCACATAATACCTTGCAATACAACATTAACTTGATCAAAGGTCATGCATAGCTTAGACAGCTGTACTTTCCTCAATATATAAAAAAATTAGATTAGAAGTACGTAAATGACACTGGTTAATCTCGTTTATTAATAATTCGTCCGAGCGAGTAGTAATTGCAGGAGAAGATGTTGAACAATTTAAATTTTCAAACTCATCTAATAGTTTCTTTATTAGACGCTTTATATCTTGGATTGTTTTTTAACCTAAATCAAAAGCTTCGACAAAATATTTTAAACTTCTATTTTTAGCCGACAAACTTTTGATTTCAGTAGAAGAAAGTTTTGAATATTTATTATGAACCGGAAGCTTACAACCATCAAATTTAATTGGGTCATCAAACAAACCAAAACCAAAACCATCCCACTAGTAGAGCACATGACAGACATTATATGAAAATAAATCTTTTAAGATACTTAGTAAAAAAATGTAAGTAACTCAACGAATAACTGATAACTGAATTATAAAAACTTATAATTGATAAGCCAAATGTTTAGTTGAGTTAAGAGTTTCAAATCGATCTTATAACACTTTGGTTTCTACAATTATTAATCTAACAAATACTTGAAAAAAATCTCTTTAAGACAATTTACTTATTGAGTATGATAAAAATTTTAGAAAAACCAAAGTAATTTCGGTTCCTAACCCTCGTTTATAAAGTTTAAACAATGTTACAATAAGAAACCAAAAATAATTTTGTAAATCAGCCAATTACTATGATAAAGTGATAAGCCCCAAATTTTCTTTGCTCTAATATGCTATAAAATTTTTCAAACTAAAAAAAGTATTCCATTTTACTAAAATATTTTTTTTATATTTATTATAAAAAAATACAGTTTAGTGATCGGTGATATTTAGAGTTTCGATTGTTATCGCTAAGTAACCTTAAAAAAGTTGAACTGGTGAAAATTCAACTTTTTTATTAGTAGGAATTAATAGATGAATTCAGAGTTATTGTGGTACTTTGTATGAATTGGTAAATTTTCCTACATAATTTGCTAATTTTTCATTTTGATTAATTTGGCTTTCTAAAAATTGAGTACTACCTAATTTAAATAAGTTATTACATAAATACGTACAAAAATATATATTTGAAAATTTATGACTCATGGGATTAATATACACAAATAATAATATATAAGCATGTTAAATTAGAATTACACAAACATTCTACAAAAATCCTTTTTATTTTTTATTGTAGTACACCCGTCCAATTCTAGCGTTTCTACTGCTTTTTGGGTAACATCTTACTGAAGCATCTCCTTCGTAACCTGGTGGGCATGTGCAAGTAGCTACTCTATTCCTTGCGTTACATTCAGCGTCAACGCCACATTGACCAGCGCACACATTCTGGCACTTGTAGTTGGAGCAGGTTTGGTCATAACGACACTCGATATCAGATTCACATTCGCCTCGGATACAACCTGCAATTGCGTTTCCTACATATCCTGATAAACAAGTGCACACTGGACGTTCTTGTCCTGAGACGTCATGTCCTGGTGTACATTTGGCATTTGATCCACAAGGGAAAGGTTCACACAAGTCAGCTGGCTCAAATGGTCTGCACCGAACAAAAGGATCACCCGTCATAGTTTTTGGACAGCTACATACAGCTTTAATGTGGTCACGAACTTCGCAATTAGCGTTTATACCACAAACGCCTGTACATGGATTAACACATTTCTCTCCTAAGCACGATGGACGATCTGATGGACAATCACTGTGAGTAAGACATTCAGCTCTACACGAAACTAATGGATTTCCAAAATATCCCTGAAATCAAAATCCAATTAAATTGCTTTAACACTAAATTCCAAATGTTTTTGAAATAATTTCTATGCTATTTTGTTATATTATATAAATAAAGATTTTTTTTTTTTATGAAATTCATTTTCTAATCAAGTAATTTTGAAAACTATTATCCTCATTTATAAAATTAAATAGTGGAATTGTTAGAAAATGAGAAGAAAAATTTTCCATTATCTAAATTAATTATAGTCCCATATTAAATACAAACTATTACAAAGAGTCTCTTAAATTTTAATCGTTTTTAATGAGAACAGAGTTTGGTCGATATTACTTGATATCTATTGTTAGGTTGTTATATTTAATAGAGAGAAAAGATTTTTGCGATAAAAAATTTGTTCATGATAAGATAGAACATTTATAGCATTCTGCTGTCTTGAAAAAAGTTTTTAGATTTTTATCAGCCAATTAATTTATAAATTTCAATCGTATATAATAAAGTTGTGAATTACGAATATTATTTAAATTTTAACATAATTTGAAAAATTTGTATCGAAAATATTTTTAATGATCGAAAATTGGTCTTATGAGTCCCAATTTAAAACGGTCACAGAGATTTTCTCGGTAGCTCACCAATACAATCCGGACTTTATTATTTAATAATATTTATGTTATGTATAATATATATATATAACATAATGTTTTAATATAAAATCTTATTTTACATTGCATATTGTATTTACTAAAACTTAAATTATTTTAGAATTGTAATAGAACCTTTGGGCATGAGCAAACTGGTCGGTGGTTTTGAACGTCGCAAATAGCGGTAGATGCACAAGTGCCAATAGCACAAGCTGCTGTACACAAGTAATTTTGACACATTTGAGTGGGACCACATTCATAATCAGATTCGCATTCATGACGACATCCGGTTATACCTGATCCTACATATCCTGGTAAACACGAACATACAGGCACGTCATTAATCACTTCACATTTGGTATTTGCTCCACAAGGGCTTGGATGACATTGTTCCTCTAAAAAAGTCGAATTATTTAATATAAATTTCAGTAAAAACAAGTATTATATATTACGTGGATCATTTTGACGGCATGAAGACGATGGATCTCCATTATAACCTGGCAGACAAGAACAAACAGCCACATGATTTCTCGCAGTGCACTGTGCATTTATACCACATTGACCTGCACATACATCTTCACACTTATAATTACGGCACACTCTGCTGTTGGTACAGTCGCTATTGACTACATGAAAAAAAAAACAGAAATATTTATTAAGATGGATTAATTCTAAAAAAAACCCAGCACAGGAGGGTCGCGGCACAGTGGTGACGTGGCATAGTTGAATAAAGTATAATGATATCTGACAGTGATTAAAATCACTATCATAAAAAACGCTTCGATGCTAATCTTTAGATAGTGTTTAGTTTTAAAAAATTGGTGAATTATTCTAAAAGCTACATGATCTGATATTTCCTTACTTATATCCTGATTAAGATAAAGTATGTCGAATAAAAGAGGGATATAAATATTATTTCTCATAAAAATTGTATTGATGTAAAATGTAAAAAATAAAATCGAGTATTTTCACACAAAAATAGCATTCAGTAGTCATTTTAAATCCCCCCCTGTGGGCAGATAAAGGGTCAAATATATAAAAAAAATATATCATGTTATGGGTAAAGACATTATGCATATATAAAAAAAAATTATATTGATTTGTTCTTTTTTGAAAAAGTTATGGCAGTTCAAGTAAAAAAAATTGAAAAAATTTCGAAAATTAGCGATTTTTAAATTTGTTATTTTTTTGGAGATTTCCCATATTTACGGGGAACGAAGTCAAAAATTTCAACTTTTGAGGATAATGTTTTCAACTAGATACAATTTGTGATCTTTTGACGTATTGTTGAGAAAATCGGTCCAATGAGAGCTGAGAAAAAGTGGTAACAGACAAAAAAAAAATAAACACATCTTAGTAAAACCAATACCTTCTCGGGTTCGCATCGAATCTAATTAATTAATTTGTTTGATAAAAACAAGGTACTAGACAAATAATAACATGAAAATACTCAGATGACTCAGAGATATACATTTTATAATTCAATGGGCGTTGAAAGTCATTAAGATATTTCAAAATAATTTAACGCCTATTTATTAAGGTCAAATATATGTGTATTTGTGTACAATTAACGCAAATTTGTAGTAATTAAAACCAAGAATCTATGTAATATTTACTCTTTGACTTAACCGTGTAATAATACATAAAAAATAATAATGATATAATTTATAAATTTATGTACATAAGTAGGAAAAGTTAATGGTTTATTTAGTTTTACACTTTATTAATACAATCTTATATTTTTATTTTAAGTATGAAAAAAATATCACTTACCTTCACATTCACCCCGTTGACAGATAGAGAGTGGATTACCAAAATACCCTGGCAAGCAACTGCAGACTGGCCGATCATTATTTACACGACAATTTGTATTGGTACCGCAAGGGTTTGGAGAACATGGATTATAATATTGCCGACCCGAAGTGTATGAAGTTGGGTTGTAAATGATCATACCTGAAATGGAATTAAAATATATTAAAAATTAAATTTATGAATAACTTGTACTCATTATTTTGGTTAAATGAGGAAAACGACGAGTGGTTATGCAATATAGGTGCAATAACATGTAGGAAAATCTTCCATCTTAATTTTAATAATGATTATTTTAAGATACATAATAATTTTCTTCTTAATTAAATAATTATTATAATATCAATAATTATTGATATTATTTTAACTCTAAAACACCCACATTTTTTATTATTACCATAAATTGATAATATTTCATTTCAACAAGGAAAACTGGTTATATTGTTTATTTAAAAAGTGTTGAGGATTTATGTGTATATTTTGGTTTGTAGTATATTTTTAAATAACAGTAACAGGTAAATATTTTTTTAAGTAATATTCAAAACAATAATTTACTTTTAAAAGTATAAACATAGTGATAAAATATTATTTCAATGCTATTTATTTGTTTAGTTGCTTACCTTGTGTCATTGGACTGATCACTGCGGCCAAAATGGCCAACATTGTTAAACACTGAAAAAGAAAAAATTCAAACAAATTATTTCTAAAAAAAATAATACTATTTTATAAATAAGTATTTAATACACAATAAAATATATTTAATGTTATCTTTTAATATATTCGTTGACCTAGATGAAATAATGTATTTGTTATCAATGACAAGGACACAAACCACTATAATGTCCTCAGATTTGTTTAAATAATTGTATTTATTNGTTTACAAACCACTATAATGTCCTCAGATTTGTTTAAATAATTGTATTTATTTAAATTTATGATCTATACAGTGAAACTTTTTTCAAAGGACCCTCTATTAAACAGGAACCTCCTCTTAACAGAAAAAATTTTCGTCCACAGCGTATCTGTTAAAAGAAAGTTTTCTGTATAACTATAATAATGATCGTGTTAAAGGTTCAATGTACCTTTTAAAAAAATATTATTATTATTTCAAATAGCAGTTAACTGTGTATGAAGTGGCACTACATGGTTCTATTTTATAATTTATAAATCTATGTATAAAAACCGATCATATAGTGTAGTATTATTACTTTTTCGATTTCTAAAAATAAGGAAGTACGGTATTTAATTTTAAAAAAATTAGATTTTTGTCAACTTCATAAGTTTAGCGTGAATAAAATAGTAATAGTTATAAATTGTTAGCTCAAGACGTAGTAATTATGTTTTTATAATTTAAATAGATAGAAAAAAATTTAATGGATTCTTAAATTTTTTAATTGATTTAACATATTAGTAAAAAAATATTTATCATTTATAATGTCATAAGTAAAGAAATTTAACCCGTCCCCTTTACTAAAATCAACAAACACCTTATTTCAAATTACGTATGATAAAATTAAAATTAAAAGTAAATTTTGTTTTGGTTTTAAGAAATAAAATCTGAAGCCATTTATTAAAAAATGAATTTAGCAATTTTTCTGAAGAGCAAAGACAAATAAAAAAATTTAATAGTAATATGATAAAATCAATAATTTTGGAATGAAAAAATATTCCTTCTCCTTAAATTCATCTCGTCAGTTTTATAAACATTACCAATAATTTCAGATTACTATTTTTGTGATGATCTTTTAGAAAAAAACCGTAGAAATATTTATAATAAAATAAGTAGTATAAGGTGAATTTTTAAATTATTCATTGGGAAAGTTATTTAACACGTTAATTAAGACTTAATATTTTAAGTTTTTTTTTAAATATATCATACATTTGAGATTCGGATACGGAAGATCTTAGTTTATTTCATACTTATTTACGTTTAAAATCAGCAAGTTCTATATTTCACAGATTTATAACGTCATCTATCAAATATTTATTTTATTAAAAATAAATACAACATAAAAAATGTACACAATTTCCCATGAAACAAGACATTTGATAGCACTTTCGATATAATATTAAATATTTTTGAGTTTTATAATAATTATAAAGCACAAAATTCTGTCCTAACAAAAACATAATTATAATTACAATTATAATTTACATAATAAATAACTGCTATTCTAACAAAATACTAGAAAAACAAACATGTGTTGCATACGACTATTACTTTAAGTTATTATCAAACATTTTTTTGGTCTATACAACTACATAGAAGCTACATAGCAACCTCAATATGATGCTGTGGATAATTACTTCATCTACATATCTATTAATTTATGCCTAAATACGCATATAAGTATATTAAATTAGTATAGTTTGTTGCTAGTTTTTAATTGAACTTTAAAATTAAATTCAAATATAAATAGTTATTTCTAATATAAAATATATAATTAGACTATTTGAAACCAATAACGTGGTAAGTACAAAATGTAATAAATTGATTTTTAGTCTAAATAAAATGTCTTGGGACTAAACCAAAAAATATTTAACGCGTGATAAGTCTATATTTTAAATTAACGGTAAGAAAATATCAACAAGATAATGTTTTAAGCACACTACAGTTTTTTAATTGAAAAAAAAATTCACCAACTTAAGATCAACTTTTTGGTACTTTCATGTTATTGATTTTATTAATTGATTCAATATTTTGAATAATTAAAGTAGTTAAGGTCTACCAATTACTATTATTTTACTATTAACTTGTACAATATACTCTTAGTCATAAAATGAATTCATTTTTACTGGTAAATATTTTTTAAATCTTAGTACTTACCAAAGTCATGTTGTATCCGGTATAGTCACTACACAACTATTGACCAAGTGATTTGTTTCAAGTGTTCATTTATAAACATCAGGTAATCCTTGCTGGATCCGATTCATGGTCATAAGTCGAAATATGGGTTCGACCAGTATTAATGTATGTACGAAAGCGTGTGTGTATTTGCGTTAGTGCATAAACAACTCTGACTACCATTTTGGTTTTGCTTATGAGTTATGTATTTCAAGTAGCCCACGCGGAACAATAACGTTGCAGTCAAACAATCGCTTAATTGATCAATTCAATGGCCACCAAAACATACGCCCACGAGTACACATGATTATCATACTATAATATTGTTGACTAATATGTAGTTTATCCAAAGATAAACTAACTTCTCCATCAACCTATCGTATGTAGAAAAAACTATTAAGCGTAGGCTATTTTTGCAACAATGAAAATAATATGCACAATTCCACACTTGACTTAGTTCAGTTATTTTTTGACGTCAGATCAAGTCCAAGACACGATTCTTATGCATAATAACAACTACATAAACATACGCCGGATATCTAAATTTCCGAAATGTGTTGTGTATCAGCTAGTACAAAAACCAATTTTTAGTAGGCGGTATCAGTCCTTGAAAATAACGAGAGTTAGTCATTACCTATTGACGTATGCGATCAAAATAACATAAAATACATACAGAGTGAATCTTTTAACGCAAGCCACTAAATTTCTCTAAAATAAGACTATTTTTGAAAAAACATTTTCATTGGTTTTTGTTAGTTACATAAGTATTTCCATTTATCTAATATAAAACAACTTTTAGGTCGATACCACATATCTTAGAGGGGTGTCAACATTATTTTTTTCTTAATTTATCAATAATAAAATACTTGTTTTATTCATTCCTTATACCTTATAAGTATATGAACTATAATATCTTAAATGGTAACACACAATTAAACTAGCTTATAAATTAAAAAATGATTTAATCATGAAAATGGCTGGTTGATAACAACTTTTGGACCAGTACTTCCGAAGTTATTCTCATTTTCATATCTAGGCGGTAGGAAGAGCACGACCGGGAAATGACTAGTGAATTAAAAGCAGCACGCTCTCTTTACCTCTAGTCATAACTTTAAATTATTAATAACTTCTGGAATACTGGTAAAAATTGTTATCCAGCAGTCATTTTCTGAATTAAATCATTGTCTAATTTATAAGCTAGTGTAATATGTATACTGCAATTTCAAAAAATTAAGTTGACACCCCTATAAAATATAAAAAATGAACCTAAAAATTATTTTATATCAAATACATATGTAACTAACAAAATTCGAAAAAAAATTTCAAAAAACTTAATATTATAAGAAAATTTGAGTGGTTAGCGTTAAAAAAAAAATCACTCTGTATATTCATCTAAGATTTTGCGCCAGAGTTTAACCAATAGTAAATATTAATATTTAATTGTTATTTTTGTAATTTAAATTATAATATTTATTGCTAAGGTGTATTTTTTTGTTACACATAAACAATATGATGTAGGCATAGTGACACGACTATTTGTCTGATAATCTATTAATGAAAAAAGCCAAAACACCAAAAAGCATGTTAATATTTAAAAGTTATATTCTTAACTAGTCCATTAATTTAAAGAATTATTTTAAAAATCTTAAGGGGAATTAACCGGAATGATTTTCAAAACTAATAAATCGAAAAATTACTCTTCTAGCTATTTCCATATAAAAAAAAAAACACATCATAGTAAAACCAATACCTTCTCAGCTTCGCATCGAAGCTAAAAAAGGTAGAGTTTAAAATAATTGTAATATTATATTATCACTTAAAATATTAACATATATTTTGATGTTATCATTTGTACATGTATGTCACATATTATGAATATACAGAATCACCAAAACAGGGTTGTTTTATTTAAAAAACAAAATAACCAGTTAATTATGAGATAAAAACTACTTATTGTAGAGATTATTAAGTAACGTCTACACGTAGGACCCTCATTATAATTAACCAATTAGAATAGAAAGTCTCAGCTTCTGAGGTCACGCTAGGGATCGCTAGGCTACCCCTCTCTGACTATAAAAAGCCATTTCCTCGTCGAAACCAGTTCTTTCGGTAATTTTAAAATACACAAAATCTATGACACTCTACTAAAAATTTGGTTTTTTTTTAATTAATTTGGATTTAGAATATTAGCTTCGATGCGAAGCTGAGAAGGTATTGGTTTTACTAAGATGTGTGTTTTTTTTTTTTTTTTTTCTGTTACCACTTTTTCTCAGTTCTCACCGAACCGATTTCTTTCAATGATACGTCAAAAGATCACAAATCGTATCTATTCGAAGACATTATCCTCAAAAATTGAAAAAAATTCCCTCGTTCCCCGTAAATGGGGGAAACCTCCAAAAAAATTACAAATTTAAAAATCGCTAATTTTCGAAATTTTTTCAATTTTTTTTACTTAAAAGTGCTATAACTTTTCAAAAATGAACATATCAATATAATTTATTTTTATATAGATTCATGATATCATTACCTTTCATTTGGTATATTTTTTTTTTATATGTGACTCTTTACTTGCCCACAGGGGGGGATTAAAAATGACAACTTTTTCACAAAAAATTAATTTTTTCAACTTAAATTTTGAAAGTGTTCCGGAAAATCTGACACTTTTATATATATCTTAAATTAAAGCTAATGTAATGTACTTTAATTTGAAAAAAAAAANTATATTAAAGATAATGTAATGTACTTTATCATGAAAAAAAAAAAATTTCGGACTTTATTTTATCTTCACGGTGAAAATGGCTACTGAATGCTATTTTTGTGTGAAAATTCTCGATTTTGTATTTTACATTTTTAACTTTATTATGCTATAACTTTTTGNTTTTTTTTTTTTTTTTGTGTTTGTTACCACTTTTTCTTAGCTCTCATCGAACAGATTTCTTTCAACAATACGTCAAAAGATCACAAATCGTATCTAGTCGAAGACATTACTCTCAAAAATTGAAAAAATTTCCCTCGTTCCTCGTAAATGGGGGAAACCTCCAAAAAAATTACAAATTTAAAAATCACTAATTTTCGAAATTTTTTCAATTTTTCTTACTTAAAATTGCCATAATTTTTTCAAAAATGAATATATCAATATAATTTTTGTTTTTATAGATGCTTGATGTCTTTACCTATCATTTGGTATATTATTTTCATAAATTTAACCCTTTACCTGGCCACAGGGGGGGATTTAAAATGACAACTTTTTCACAAAAAATTAACTTTTGAAAGTGTTCCGGAAGGTCTGACACTTTTATTCNTGGAAGGTCTGACACATTTATATATATCTTAAATTAAAGCTAATGTAATATACTTTGTAATGGTGAAAAAAAATTTCGTACTTTATTTTGTCTTCAGGGTGAAATTGGCTACCGAATTCTATTATTGTGTGAAAATTCTCGATTTTATGTTTTACATTTTTAACTTTATAATGCTATGACATATTGAAAAGTGTATGGATCAACATTATTTTTTTATGAGAAATAATATTTTTTAATAATCCCTTTTTCATTCGACATACNCTGACACTTTTATATATATCTTAAATTAAAGGTAATGTAATATACTTTATTTTGTTTTTATGGTGAAAATGGCTACCGTATGCTACTTTTGTGCTAAAATTCTTGATTTTATATTTTACATTTTTAACTTTATATTTCGATAACTTTTAAATAATTTTTTAAAAAAAGTATGGATCAATAAAATTATTTTGTGAAAAATACTATTTATATATTTCTTTCATACGACATCCTTTTTTTTTAAATCGGACCACATCCTTTTACAGGGGGGTTCAGAACTTAAAAATGCATATAGAAATAAAACTTTTTCAATATAATTTTTGAAAGCGTTGCGAAACTTTAATTGCAGATTTGAAATCGGCATAAAAATGGGTTTAGAAAAGTTTAATTTAGTCTCTGATGAAAATTCCTTGTAGACCAGTAAATTTATTTATAAATAACAACCATTTTTTTTTAAGTATTGCATTAAACCTCTCAATTTTTATATACGTTTGTCATAGAAGCAATGAATACTTTATAATTTTTTATAATTTCTCCATAATAATTACAATACTCAATTATAAAAAATCAATATCATGCTATATTTCATTGCTTTAATAAATATTTATTCATGTATTACACTTATTAATTATAAAACTATTAATCAGGATATAAAAAAGGAAAAAGGAGATTATTTTGCTTTTGAATTGATTCACAAATTTTCCTTTATACATAGCAGAGGGTTCATAACAAAAATTCATATAGAAAAAAACATTTTTAACTTATTTTTTGAAAGTGTTTGGGAAATACTGACACTTTTATATATATCTTAAATTAAAGCTTATAAAAATACTTTAATATGGAAAAAAAAAATGTTGAACTTTATTTTGTTTTCATGGTGAAAACGGACATCAAAGTTAATAAAATAATAAGATTTTTGTGAAAAATATTCTTTTTTATATTTTTAATTTTATAAAGATATAACTTTTTAAAAAATGTATGGATCATTACAATTTTTTTTTGAAAATTTTTTACTTTCTACTTATTGTAGAGATTATTAAGTAACGTCTACACGTAGGACCCTTATNGCCCACAGGGGGGGGATTTAAAATGACTACCGAATGCTATTTTTGTGTGAAAATACTCGATTTTATTTTTTACATTTTACATCAATACAATTTTTATGAGAAATAATATTTATATCCCTCTTTTATTCGACATACTTTATCTTAATCAGGATATAAGTAAGAAAATATCAGATCATGTAGCTTTTGAATAATCTACCAATTTTTTAAAATTAAACACTATCTAAAGATTTACATCGAAGCGTTTTTTTTTTATAGTGATTTTAATCACTGTCAGATATCATTATACTTGATCCATCTATACTATATCAACATTGTGATGATTATTCTTTCAATNACATGTCACCACTGTGCCGCAACCCCCCTGTGCTGGGTTTTTTTTTCTTTGAAACTAAATGACACTTAGAAATTTTAAAGTGAATTTTGTTTTGGTGAATCTTTTAATTTAATTTGTTCATTAAGTAATAATGTTTTATTTTTCTGTGGAAATCTTTATTTTTATTGTGGATATAAATATCAAATAATATTTTAAACATTAAATTTCTTTTTAATTATTTTATTTTAATAATAAATCCAACACCACTTCAAATTTTTAAAAATAATAAAAATGCATTGTGAGCTTTTCTTATTGGGTAGTTAGTCTCGTCGCTAATATTTTTGTTTTATCGCGCTGGCAGACAACGTAGAGAAACTTATGAGTATATTTACAGTGTTTAATCTTTGTCTTGGTGGTTATTGTGTCGCATCTTTTCAAGGCGCTAGCTCCGACACACGTTGAGCCACCACAATACCGCCTTGATAAATTTTTTACATAAATATATATATTTTTGAATCTTGTTTTGGCCAGACCAGAGGAAGATTTAAGAAATATTGGTGTCGATCTCTCAATAAAATATATTCTCTCAAAAAAATTCTTATTCAACAAACACAAAAAAATTAAATAAGGACAAATAACATCTAATAAAATATAGAGTGATTAGAATCTTTTACAAGTAAAATCAGTCCTAGATTTTGTGTAATTAAATCATATTATTTAAAATTTGAATCATTTTCGCAAGTATTATATGTAAGACTATATGACGTATACTGTAAATCGTATATGTAGTGCATTTAATACCAAAATCGACATTGTATTACTTGAAATATTATTGCAATACATAGGACGTAAGGTAAGTACAATTTAATCTATGCTTTTGAATTTCCAACAATTTATTACGTAATAAACCATTAACAAAATTAATAAACAAATTAAATAAAATTATATAAAATTATATAAATTAAAAAAATTTAACATACCATATATTTGCCTACAATTCTGTATTTTCTTTTTGTTTCTTTTATTTTTAGTTTATTACAGAATGGTTCATATCAACCAATAAAATTAATAGCTGTGGTATATTTCGTAAAACTTTGTTTAGCTTCGGTGAGAAACTGAAAAGGCATTAATTTTACTCTCTAGTGTATTTTGTTTTGTCTGTCATTCATTGTTTTCGGGTCTCAATGAACTGAATTTTTTCAACCATACGTCAAAAGGTCTCATAGAAAAAATTCAAAGTTGCAACTTTTGTTACTTTAAAAAATGTTTCGGAAATACTCTAAGCTTCAAATATATGTTAAATAAAACCTTGTTACATAATATAAGTACAAAAAACATTTGTCCCCACAACTTTTCTTCTATATGAAAACAGCCTCCGAAGGTTAACAAAAATTATTATTTCGGTGTAATATGTCACTGTGCTTTATGTTGTTATAATTTTCTTTTTCGATTATTTATATCAATATTTATTTGTGATTAATTAAAAAACATAAATGTAGAACAAAATAACTTTATTACAACAATTAATGATCTTCCAATTCTATTGGTGTTGGAAGTTTTTCATTTGTTTCTTCGAATTCTAAATCTAGAATTAAAAAAAAAAAACCGTGAGATAGTGGAGTTGTGGCACAGTATGGACATGACATAGTAGGAACAATAGTAGATGATATCTGACAGTGATTAAAATCACTATCATAAGAAACGCTTCGATGCAAATCTGTAGATAGTGTTTAAACCTAAGAAACTGGTGCATTATTCCAAAAGCAACATGATCTCCTATTTCCTTATTTATATCCTGATTACAAGTTTTATGATTTATAAAAATAATATATGAATAAATATTTATTATAGAGATTAAATATTGTATGAAATTGATATTTAACGATTTAGTATTATAATTTTTACGGAGAAAACATAAAAAATTATAAATTTGTTAACAACAAATTTTGTAGGAAATGGGTTTCAAAATTGAAGGGCTTCACACAAAACTTTTCATAAAATAATTTATTGTTAATTATGAATAAATGGTCAAGAAATTTTCATNTAAAATAATTTATTGTTAATTATGAATAAATGGTCAAGAAATTTTCATCAGAATCAAAAATAAACTTTTCTTGATTATTTTTCTTGCTGATTTCAATTCTTCAATTAGATTTTCCATCACCACTAATTTTTGATATTATTACTAATTAGTTAAAAACCAGTTTTAACATATAGAAAAATGAAATTCAACAACACAACAGCGGAATCATAGATGAACCTCAGCATGGAATATAATTCTGAATATTTCAATTGTAGCATTTATTTAAACACCAAAGTAACATAGAAATGATAAGTATTTCTATTGAAATGATTTACTACGATATAAATACTGTCGGCGAACAGAGATACAGGTAGTTCTGACAGGTTGACCAACTGCCTAGCGTCACAGAAGGAATCGGTGCTATCTACCAGGCAGAGAGGGCATGAGGGTTGCTTGTAGTCTCAACGATGGTCAGTGTTCAAGAACCAAGTAAAGGAAGAAGGACGCAGCAGATATTCTTTTTTATATTTCATATTTATTTATTTGTTGTTTCGTTTTATTTGTTATAAGTTATTTTCTTAATAAAGCAAGTTGTTTTGTGTTTGATCATTCACTATAAGTAAGTTTGTTTTTATTTATTGCATAGAATAAATTTGTCTACAATAGACAAATTTATAAATAACACAATATTATTGATAGTAACATTTAGAGCAATTCTAAATAAACTAACTGCACGAGTTCACCTGCGCACAGCTACGTTAGGCATAATTCACGTAATCAGAAAGAAAAAATTAGAGTATGGTGCCTTAACTATATTTTAATTATTTCCGTTTAATAGTAATCGTTGTCGGCGCACTGCGGTGGTCGATTGACGTCTAGGGTACTCGTGCAAGTGGTCTGGAGAGCCTAGACATCCGAAACGCGTTCAACTCCGTGCGATGGCCACACATCCTCGGAGCGCTGGTCGCGTTTCGGGTGCCTCCTTACCTCGGGCGGATGATCCGGTCGTACTTTGGCGATCGGTTCATCTGTTACGAGAGCGTCGCGGGCCCGAGAGTCAGACCTGTTACGGGAAGCGTCCCGTAAGGGTCAGTTCTCGGGCCTCTGCTGTGGAACATCGCGGTGTTCCGCGTTCCGCTACCACCGCACGTGCGCATCGTCTGCTACGCGGACGACACGCTGGTGGTAGCGGAAGGAGCCTCGTCCGAGGAGGCTGGATCTCGTGCGAACTGCGCGCTCAGCGCAGTCACCGCCTGGATCCAGCAGTAGGGGAGTGGACTATCAAGACCGAAGCGGTCTTGTTCACGGGCAGGTACAAGTTTAAGTGGTAAATACCATGACACGTTTAAGGGCACTGGTCCAGGGCGAGTGGTCTATCGTTCTTTTAGTAAACGTTGTCGACGCACTGCGGTGGTCGATTGACATCTAGGGCACTCGTGCAAGGCGGTACTCTACTGTTATGTGCCATCGGTACTCTGCGGATACCGTGACGCGTTTAAGGGCTATTTGCTCAATATTCACAGATTAAGCTACACGACGTAACGCATATAGTATTACTTGTTTAACCAGCGTTGGTTACTCATGCAGTTAGGTTATAACGACATTTGATATAATTTACACATGGTAGAGCTTCATACTCTGTTTATAATATTTTATGATTACAGTCCATTCAAGAGTATTAACAATACAAAAAATATAATAGGTAATTTTAACGAAATATTGAGTTTTTTTCATAAGTTTACTATTAAATAGTAATTATATGAGTTTATGACCCTAGATCAATATATACAAAAACATTTTTTAAATCATCATAAAATTTTCTATTTAATGATATCAATTTTAAACTTGCAACTTTAATTAAAAAAAAAAATTATACAATACCATAAAAATATTCTACAAAAGACCAGAAAAAATATATAATATTAAAACATATTGAATTTTGGACGGTCTATTTTTAACATATTAAAAATTAAAATAAATGTTTAAATATTAATACTCGTTCATTATAGAATATTTTGTAATACTTCATTGTGTCATTATTAAACTAAACCTTGTGTTTGCGTTGTTCTGTTATCGAAGCTCTAACTATTCATCTATATAATTGAGCTTTAATGCAATTTTTATGTGACGCAATGAAAAATCTATGTGGCAACAATTTTATTTAAAAAAAATTATGATATCACAGATATTTTATAAAATTTAGTCTTATCATTTTTAAAATGCACAACAGAATGAATACGTGTTTTACACTTCGTCAAATTACATATTCTTCAAAAAATTTCAATCATAATTATTATTAATTATTTTTTAAATGTATTCATTAAATATATTAAAAATTATTTTTTTATTATTTTATGTAATTTTTTATACAAAAGCACCAACACCTAAGAAAAAACTAATAATACAGTTTGATCAGTTTCTAAACTATCCGGGATGGCAAATTTTACATGATGTGCATTCAATAAAATATTGTAACAGAAAATTTTATGCTAAAAGTCTGATTGAAACACCTACAGAAGCGAATCGATGTACGCAAAAGATACGAGCCTTGAATGTATATCTTGGATGCTCATATGCAAAAGTTATGAATAATCTATTATCAATTTTTATCAAATGCCTACAAAATTGTCAAAAAAATAATAAAGAAACAAATGACTTATTAAATGGTTGCATTAATACCGAAGAACTAATAAACATAATGGCCCTTTTTATTGTTCCAACTGCAACATTGATGAAAGGAGCCGTAGACGCTTTAGATTTATTTTACCAATCATCAATGCCTACTTTAAAAATAAAAACACATAATACCTACATAATGAGTTTTATTTTGGAGGCAATAGAAGATATTATTAACAAATTAAATAATCCACTTCCATCATGTGATGTTACAAACTCTTCAACATGTGGAATGTTATATTCAGTTTGTAATAATATAATAGACATTTTAAAATCTGAAACTGAGCTAATTTGTCATTTTGTACCTTATGATACGAATTATTTATGGAATAAATGGAATCAAGAATATAAAGCTATTATTGACCAAGGTGTAAAAATAGTATTTGTTAAATTTTTAACAAGGAAAATTAATGATTATATCAAAACAGTAGTTATAGAAAAGTATTTCCTACTGGGATTTAAATTTGATCCAATTACTAAAGAAACATTTATCCCGACATCAGAGGAGCCAATTAAAGCATGTATGTAAAATAAAAATATATTAATTAAAACATCTATTCATAGTCTTATATACATTTTTTTAGATCAAGAATTGAAATTTAAAGCAACAGGTGAAGAACTTTCAAAGTCAATAAAAATAAATCATTATATGATTTAATAATATTAATATTGTTCTACATTTATATTTTATAATCAATTAGAACATATTAATCCTCAAAAAAAAATCTAAATATATATATATAAGACATATATTTTTTTAGACGATGATTAGGAATTTAAATAACATGAAGAATTTTGAATACCAATACAAATAAAACCTCATTAAATGTTGTAGTAAATTAATTTTGTCGTGCAATTGTTTAATAATTAATCATAATTTACATTGTTATTTTGAAAATCTAAATTATTATTAAAACATAAACATGAATGGTGAATCATACAATTATTCATTGGTTGTACTCACAGAAGTTATATATAATATTGATACTATAAATTATACAAACTTAATGTAAGTACAAGAAGTAAGGGGTGGGTGTTTTTATCACCAAACATTTTACGGCTATACTTCTCTTTAAACCAAGCTATAATAATGTTAATAACTTCTAAAATATTAATCTAAAAAGTTATTATCAAACAAATCATTTTCATAATTAAATCATTATTTAATAAATCAGGGAGTTCATCATATATACTACTATTTGAAAAATAAAGTTACACACCATTATAAACTATTACAGATGAACATATAAAATACTTCGTAATTAATGAATTAAAAAAATTATGTACATATTTTGATTATATATGTGGTTTGTTAAATTTTTTTGTCGTGTATACTGATTGATTTTTTATCAAAATTCACTTAATTATTTACAGAATAAAAATAAATTATACATTTTTATTTCTGCTCACCTTTAGTTACATACTATTCTAAAAATTCAAGAATAATATGTAACTAAAGGTGCATAGAATGCGAAGTACAGGCGTGACTTAATGAAATTAATGAAAAGTGTGAGTTAAGTTGCTTATTATAATAAACAAATATGTTAAATTTAAAAAAAAAATGTATATAACTAAAAGTAAGAATTAGTTTTATGTACATTAAACCAATGTTTTAAAGCTATTTCTACCTTAATAATATAATATAATAATGTTTTTATTTTTTTGGAATGCTAACATTAATTTGGTATAGGTTTGAAGAATACCAAAGTCCCGGAACATTATTAAAAATTGAAAATAATTTTTTTATTGTAATTGTTTTAATTTGATAGCCGATTTCCCATAGAAGAACAATCGTTAAACGATGTTTTTATATTAATTACAGTACATTTCAAACGTTTTCATTTTATATAGTATAGAATCTAGCATCGGCTATAATATATATAGTATATATAGCCTATATCACCCGTATATATATCATTGTTATAAAACATTTTTATCAACAGTGGTGGTATAATCTTTCATTGTTTTATAGAGATACGAGGTGTGTTCAAAAAGTAAGGTGACTTGATATTTTTATGAAAAACTATTTATTTATTCATCAATGTTTATGTTGTCCCCTTCAAAGTAATCCCCCCCAGATGTAATACACTTGTGCTAACGCTTTTTCCAATCTTCGAAACACTTCTGATAAGCACTTTTTGTTATTTCTTCTGGTCAAAATTAAGCAGTTTCGGAACAATCTTCGCTGACACACGTCTTATGCCCAAAATATCCGAAAAAACTTCATGGCACGAGCCAACCGATATGCCAACATCCTCAGCAACTTCTCTGATAGTGATTCGTCGATTTTCCAAAACAATTTTCTTCATTGCTTCAACGTTTTCATCTGTTGTTGACGTGCTGGGACGTCCAGAGCGAGGTTCGTCATTGGCATCTTCTCGGCCATCTTGGAAAAGCTTGTACCACTTATAAATGTTATTTTTACTCAGAGCGGACTCACCGTATGTTACTGTCAACATTTCAAGTCTATTAGAACACTTAATTCCATTTTTGACACAAAATTTGATGCAAATTCTTTGATCCATTTTTTTTTTGATAGCAGAAAATCGCCGAGCACACCAAAATACGTCTAATCTTTGTATCTGTCAAAAACAAACTAAATATGCTATATACTTGAAACTGTGTACAGATGTTCGGTACGAGTGTACCAACATGACATAAAAAAAAATCTAAGATCGAACGGACGTAGCCCGCGAAATTTGAAAAGTCACCTTACTTTTTGAACACACCTCGTATATTATGTTATACGAATACTTTTTAGCAGTGTTGTAAAGGAATTTGTTCTAAAAAGCCGTCCTTTCTGGAACGAATTCCCTTAAATACTTGAATTGAATTTTTTTTTGTAGGAACTAGCTTTTTTTATAAATTAAATTTTAATATTTTAATTAGCACCATCTTCGTATGTGTTATAAATATAAATGTACTTTAACATTGACAATATTACATTGAAATCTGACTACCCAGATTATATATCTGAATTATACCTATTGTTTTGTCAACATTTTATAATTTTAATAATATTAAAATAATAACATTATATTATATTACTTCGAAATTAAAATTTTTAATAATATCAAATCATGGTCCCATTTATTAAATTAATCAAAATCCTAATGTAGATCACCTAGTAATGATACTCGTTTATTATTCATAAATTTGCTCAAAAATACAACCTTGGATCACTAGTTTCTGGTAATTATTATCAAGCAGAATATGATGATTATCTGTGAGTGTGCTACAAACAGCTAAATACAGCTTGAACAGAAAATTGTTACAAAATTTATTTAAAAAAAAACAAAATATTATTTATAAAAATACTCTTTAAATAGTATTTTTATTAATTATAATACTGTAATAATAATAATGTAACATATATATATATATATATATATATATAAACAATTGTTTATGTATTTATGTTACATTTGTTGTTTTTATTATATAATTTTTATCAAAATAAATTCTATAATTTGAAGAAATATTTGTTTTTATTAATTACTTCTTATCTCATTGAGTATTATCAGTACTTGTGAGGGTTATAAAATAATATACTCAGGTAAATCTAATACAAAGAATGGTGCAGGAATAATAATTGATAAGGAGATGAAAAGTAAAGTAGTAAAAAATGACAGAATTATAGTCGAAAATTATTTTCGAGGAAAAATTTAAATAAATTAAAATAATAAAATTTTCTTTTAAAAAATCTACTGAAATTAATTAGTTAATTAATAGTGACAATAATTATTTTTAAAACTGTAACGTCACAAATTCGAAGGTGGACCGGTTATGATTTTTTGTTATGTCTACTTATTTATTTTATTGCGTGAAAGAACCTTTTTCTGACACAGCAGTGTCAACCACTCATTATTTTGCCGCTGACCGCTAGATAAGGCGATAAAAGAGAAATATAATTAAAATCGAATTATTAATCAGTATTGATCCCTTCCAAAAAGACTGGCCGTTATCGATTTGAAATTGCCGTTAGATCGGTGTTGACTCTTCTCCATTCCTTCTTCTGTCATTGACCGTGCTAGGGTGCACACATTTGTTGTTTTATTGACATATTTTTCAATGATGGAGTAGAGCCACCATGTCTGTCTTTATAATATATAATTTATAATATAATGGGTCTCTTCGGAGACCGGGTATCGTTTTCTTTTATATATTATATTTGTGTAATGAGCTATATTTTATTAAATTTTATTTTATCGTAAATTAACTTAATTATGTTTATGTGTGGAGAGCACGTGTTTCCCTTTTCTTCTAGCCAACGCTAAGGAGCGAGTGTCCAGACCGCTCCTGGTGTTCTTCATTAATTTCCGATTAACATTAACGGATGTGTTCCAATACCGTCCGTGATGTTTGTAATATTATTTGTTTATTTTGATTAAATATTTTATTTTATTTGTATTGCCTTTATTTGTAGACATGGTTTTTGATGCATTCGCATTTTTGTCCATGTTTAACTTAATTTTCTTTTTTTAACAATTAAATTAAATTTCCTTATTAACTTCAACTGTAATATTTATTTTATTGCGCGAGTAACTTAATTACTCGCGTGTATTTTATCCCTATTCCTTAATTTAGACACGGGCTACGGTATGTTTTACATATCAACCACATACAACTTTGATTGTCATAATTGTGTTTAATAAACCACGAGGTATTATAGTAATTTATACATATAACGACATATTAACTTAGATTATATTTTTAATTAACTTAAAATTAAATTCCACCTATGGTCCTGTAATCATATCTGATAGATGTGACACCTCGCCTAGGTACTATAGCTAGTCGTTATGCAAGTGGCAAACCACGTTGTTGTTACAGGCCGAATTAATATAAAAGCCCACTTGCAAAACATTAGAAAAATCTTAATTAAGATAATTTTAATTGAACATTTAACACATAAAATTTTGTTCTTTTTCGTGTTTTATAAAAGATATTATATTATTTAAATTAATTAACATTGAATATTCAACAATACCTTTAGTTATTAATATATTTAATTAAACGTTAATTTAAAGTTTTCAAACTTATGATGAACATATACTTTCTACTATATCCCAATAATTTCGAAATATTTGATGTTTACCGTGATTTTTTAGGAGTAGCATTTTTAGAAACTAATTGGTTAAACATTTTTTCAGAATAAAAACTGTTTTGAAAAACCCAGCACGGGGGGTCGCGGCACAGTGGTGATGTGGCATAGTTGGATCAAATATAATGATATTTGACAGTGATTAAAATCACTATAAAAAAAACGCTTCGATACAAATCTTTAGATAGTGTTTAATTTTAAAAAATTGGTGGATTATTCCAAAAGCTACATAATCTGCTAGTTCCTTATTGATATCCTGATTAAGATAAAGTATGTCGAATGAAAAAGGGATTATTAAAAAATATTATTTCTCATTAAAAAATTGTATTGATCAATACATTTTTCAAAAAGTTATAGCATAATAAAGTTAAAAATGTAAAATACAAAATCGAAAATTTTCACACAAAAATAGCATTTGGTAGCCATTTTCACCGTGAAGATAAAATAAAGTCCGAATTTTTTTTTTTTTCATGATAAAGTACATTACATTATCTTTAATATAAGATATATATAAAAGTGTCAGACTTTCCGGAACACTTTCAAAATTTAAGTTGAAAAAGTTTAAAAAGTGGTAACAAACACAAAAAAAAAAAACACATCTTAGTAAAACCAATACCTTCTCAACTTCTCATCGAAGCTAAAAAACAAACCTTATTATTTTTTGATATCCATTTAGTAGGAATAACCTGACATTGGTCTTCTTCGAATTCAATAATTGCATATTTATTGAAAACGAATAGATTTATATTTTTATAAAGTTATGTTACAATAAGCAATCTTATCGTTTGATTTCGCCCATTTTTCAACGTTAATTATTCAAACAGAAATATTAAGAATACACACACTTGTGTGTATTTTGAATATACACACAACTAAACAATGTTACCACATAAAAATAAATAAAAATTTCTGCTGTTACAACTGTGTTAACAATTTTATCGTCTATTATATTTAAAGATTTTTAGGTTGTATTTAATTTATCGCGTTCTTACTACCGAAATCGTTTATTAATTAAAATTTGTATTTATCAATACCGGAACAAAAGTTAATGATAAAAATGATATAATTTTTTATATACGTTTATTTTATTTATGTACTTATTTTTATTTAAACAAAGATTAAGAAATGTATAAAAGTTCTTTAACACTCAAAATCATGCAAGTACAAGAAACATTACACTATAATGTAAATAATTAAAAATATAATTTTACTTGTATAAAATATATAAATATATACAATTTTTAAGGCCTATCAAGCGAGCAACGCACGGCGCTAAGTTGTACGCTTGCGCGAGTTATTCCCTCGACGTCAGATTTGTCGTCTGATGTGCGTAGCGCGAGGTCCACCGGATGTTCCTCCGGTAAAGGCGCTACGACGGGCCGCTGATTATTCACGTTCGCATAGGTCTCTCCTTCAACGATACGGTCCGTAGAGTTGTCGAGAACACCCACTTCGGGCTCACGGACTGGAATTTCAAGCGACGTATGGTGTGGTAGAATTTCGGTAGCGGTGTTCCTCCCTTTGCTACGTAGGTTTTCTCTAGCATGATAATCATATTGGGTATCATCGCGTAGCGTGTTAGTTATCTAAAAGCGCATTCGTGACGTAGTTCAGTGCAGTTAATTCGTGCCAAAAGTTTTCCCCGCTGTATTGACCGTGAATATTATATTTATTTACAAAACCTTAATAATCTAATGCAGCTGCGTTAATAAGCTGCGGAGACAAACAATATCTCCGTATACGGTCAAATTTGCTACAGCTTTAGAAAACAAGTGTTATTATTATTGCTATTGTTGTTGTAGTAAAGTAATCGCGATAAGATGGTACGAGGTCGCCGTTTATAATAGGGCACCGATTGAACAATGATAATAACGGTTACCTGGGAATCAGCCGCTTGGATAAGGTTAGACGAAAATATACTACTTTTATCTATCAGTGGACTGTAACTATCGGCCGGAAATTCACTTTTGTCGATATCGATAAAGTCGTTATAATAATACTGTAACCAACACCTTCCAAAGACAATGTTTACAGCGAATTGTATCAGATAATGTACTCCAATTTTATTGTTATAAATATTTCCCAGAGACAAGGCTAAATCTAATCCCGCTAGAGTGTAACTGTGAATAACCTAGGAAAAATTAACTGTTGTCACCAGTGAAATTTGTTCAAATAACCATATGAATAATAAAAAATAAGGGAGACTTCAGCGTTTCAAGTAAAAAGCTAAAATCTAATATAATTAGAAATACTGAATCGGCTCTAAGCCTCTTACATTAACTTCTTCCTTCGGCTGGTTTGGATTCCTTTTCAGAGAGCCAGTTAACACGTATTCGGTTAGGAGAATAGTTGGGACAACACAAATAAGTTTTAATTTTAACTCAAGGAAAATAAAATATGAATTAAATCAATTGACATAATCGAAAACCAGTGTCTTTTTGTTCATAGGGTAGCAGCTGTCGTAACACAGTAAAGAAAATGATATAAGGTAAATGGGAAACTATGTGTACGAAGATGAATATGAGGAGGTGGTGCCTGCTGTCTAGGTATTCACGTGCGTGTTGTCGTACAGCAGTCACCGTGCTCGGCTGACACTCCGGGTTAGCTGTGGGTGTCGAAAGGCTGTTGTT